GGTTTCCCCCTTGGTTTCTTAAATATGTTTTGGAGGGCCCAAATTTTTTTTTTTTTTTTTTTTTTTTTTTTTTTGTCTTTTTTGTGAACGGCCGCACCGCGCTCAGCCAGTGAGCGCACCGGGGCCATCACTATATAGGATCCGAACCCGCAGCGGCAGCATTGCTGTGCTCCCAGCGCCGCACTCTCCTGAGTGCGCCACGGGGTCGGCCCTAGGGCCGGCCCTAGGGCACTAATCTTAAAAGCAGTTTTAATACAGTTGACAAGAGGAACAGGCTTGAACCCGCAGCGGGAGCATTGCTGTGCTCCCAGCGCCGCACTCTCCTGAGTGCGCCACGGGGTCGGCCCTAAGGCCGGCCCTAGGGCACTAATCTTAAAAGCAGTTTTAATACAGTTGACAAGAGGAACAGGCTGTGATGAGAGCTGTCATTCATAAGAAACAGCCAGGTTGTGCTGTGGCATGGGGGTCCCTGTTTCTCTCTGGGCCTCACCCTGAGCCTCCTGCCCTTTGGCCTTGTACCCTGACCTTGCTGGTTCCTGGCCCTGACTTCTCCACCAGGACCTGACCGTCCTTCTTCCATGGGCCTGGCCAGCCCCGTGTCCTCTCCTGTGTCTGCTGCCTGAGCACCCAGTGCCCACCCTGTGTATTGTGCTCTGAGTGGTAACTGCTCATGCAGTGGCTGCAAGTGTGAGCTTCATGGGGCCCAGGACTTCCAGGGGAGCCCCAGGTGACATTGGTTGAGCAGGGGGTTCCTTGTACAGCACCTACCTGTTGACCAGGGAGTAGTTTTCTTATTTGTTAAGCAAACCCGGATCGCTGTTTACACATTGGAAACCACCCTGGACCAGAAGCTGGCCTTTCATCTTACCCTTATTCAGTGTGACTGACACCCCCTGCGTACCCCATCTCTCTGGGGAGCACCACACCTCCCAGCACCCCCAAAGCTTCTTGTACCCTTGGTTCACACCTGAGCCAGGGCCTTGCCTCTGAGTCCTGAGGCGCTGTGCACATCTCTGCCTCTTTGCCCCCTGACCCCCTAACCACCATCACGCCTTCCTGAACCCGCCATGGCCCTGGCTGTCTGCTCGTCCACTTTGCTGCAGTCCACGTGATTGAGTCAGAGCAGCTGCTTCCTCTGTGCCTCCTCCGGGAATGAGCATGAGCTCTGACAGTCCTGCCCCCAGCCACTGTGCTCAGTCCACAATCCTTGCTTCCCCACGCAGCCTTCTCACCTCAGCCTGTGTGCAGCACATGTAGCATTGAACAATCTGTGATTGTCTTCTTTCCTTAAGAGGTACTCTCTCCCCTGAAAAGCGTGAAGTCTGAGGGGACCTGTGAACATCCCTTCCTTTTTGCGTACCCCGCTGGGGCAGAGGAGGTTTATGAGGAAGCCCTGGGGTCCTGGTGGTTGCAGGGCTGTGTTGACTTGAGTCGAGCACTGAGGAGGCAGAGCCTCCTTGGAGATGAATTTACATATCTATAGCACCAACCACTATGGCCCCTCAGCCCCTGGAGGAGAGGACATCCTGGGAAAAGTGGGACAGCCTTGGGGACAGAGTGCAGAGTTGGTCCCTGCAGCCAGTGGCACAGGCTGCACAGCTCTGAGGCCACTTGGGAGCTGGGAGCCCCTATCCTATGGGGCCATCCAGTGCCCTGACTTGGCCTGTGGGGCATGGATGGTTTGGCTCCAGAGATGCTCCTCAGGCACTTGGTAGAGTGGTCCCTGCAGCCAGTGGCGCAGGCTGCACAGCTCTGAGGCCACTTGGGAGCTGGGAGCCCCTATCCTATGGGGCCATCCAGTGCCTTGACTTGGCCTGTGGGGCATGGATGGTTTGGCTCCAGAGATGCTCCTCAGGCACTTGGTAGACTCCGTGCTGCGCCCAGGACATGAGGTTGTTCCCACTGCCAGGTCCACGAAAAGGCAGGGGAGAGCGGATTGGACCACAGTGACAAACGCAGGGTTCAAGATGGACCTTCTAGGACAGATTTCCACCCTCTTATCTGCTGGTGATTTGGAAATGCATCATGTGTTTCATGGAAACAGCCCTACCCCTGCCCCATAAGACTTTGCCTCCATGTTGTGGCAGCAATCTTATGTTAGTTAGGATGGGGTTTACACGCAAGATGGAAAGGTGGGTCAGCATGTGCAGCCACCAGGCCACAGCCTGGTGTGTCGTGTTCCTGGGTGTCAGGGGTCAACAACCCCTCTATGCTGGCTCTCAGTTACCTCTGCTGTTCCACTGTTGGTGCTCCCTGCAGGGTCGATATCATCCTGTGATGCCTTCCTCAACGTCTTCCAGTCCCGAGGTCTGAGGCCAGAGGTTATCTGTCCTTGTGCCAGTTCTCCTGAGGCACTAACAGTTGCCATCCGCAGGTAACTTAATTACTTGCTACATCTTATGGGTACTTAATTGGGTCTTCCACATACAACTGAGTTACCTGTGGACAGCACCAAGTTTGGTTAATCTGTTTAGCAGTAGGAATCCTGAGGTAGTCTGTTCCTTTGTCAGTATTCCAGGCATGTTTGCGCAGCAGTAGGGTGGCCCCTTGGCCCCCAGCCCCTCGCCAGCCTGGGTGTGTGCTGGGCGTTGGATAGTGGCTCCCTGGGCCATGTCTTCTGGATTCTTGCCATATGTTGGCTGGTTGTTTTCCTAAGCACTTCTTCCCAAATCAAGACCTTGTCATCTCATTTTTAGCTGTGGTAAATGCTATAATCTAGCCACTGTTCCTTATTCTAAAGTAGGTTACTATCAGCTGTGGATGTGTGTGTGGGGGACCACTGACCTGCCTGGGGAAACACCCTGGCCTGCCAAGATCCCGCTGCTTTCATGGCTGTTTTCTTTGGGTTGTCCGTTTCAACTTGGAGGGCAGTGCTGGAAGGCCTCAGACTGCCCCTAGTTGCCTCGTACACGGGTGTCTGGCTTGTGGTCTTTCTTGTTTCCTTTCCACATACCATATTGCTCCTCAGGCCACAAGTGTGCTTCTTGGTTCACTTTTCCTGCCCTGGCCATCTCTTGCCTGCTTTTGCCCACCTGTCCCCAAGCACTATCGTGGGTGTGTAGAGGTCAGTGTGCTGAAAACCAAAGGTGTCTTTGGTGTTAATTTTCCACCCTCAACTCAGTCGTAATAAAATTGGTCTCAGTTGTAGTTTTCTATTCACAGATATTCATACTACAGTTGACCCTTGAACAACACAAGAGTAGGGGCACTGACTGCAGCACAGTCAGACATAAGTGGAACAGCTTATGTGGGAAGTTGCCCTCTCTGTACTCAGGTCTTGCATTCTATGAGTGCTATATTTTTGGTCTGTGGTTGGTTGAAGAAAATCCGTGTGCAAGTGGACCACACAGTTCAAACCCGTGTTTAAGGGTTTGATGTATTCATAAATACTATGTGCTTACATATATGCAAGTATTAAGCAACCCTAAACTTTAATAACTTAGCATTGAAAATAACATCCTTATTCTTTACCAACTATATTATTTTCCTTTGTTCTACTGTGAGTTATTTTGCTCTACAATATGATTTTTTTTTTTTTTTTTTTGCGGCTGGCTAGTACAGGGATCTGAACCCTTGACCCTGCTGTTCTGAGGCAGCACTCTAACCAACTGAGCTAACCAGGCATCCCTTGACAGTATAATTTTTTCTTACTGGAGAAAATACTGACCTTTGATGCTCAGCGTTCCAGTTACTATTATTACATAACAAATCACTCCCAAACCTATTGGCCTGAAATGGCAGTGGTCATTTTGTTATGATCTCTCATGCTGTCTGTGGGCCAGGAGCTTGGAAAGGGGTAGGGTGGTTCTGTCTTGCAGTGAGATGGTGTCTGGACTAGAACTATGCAGGGATGAGATGGCTCTGGTCTCTCAGATTGGGCTGGTTGGTCTACCCTGCAGCATGGTGGCCTCTGCACAGTCATTCTGCTTATCTGGCTGCCCAGGGCTCCAGGGAAGTGTCCCAAGACAATGAGGGGGAAGCTGAGTCACCTTTTGTGACCTGCCTTGGAAGCCACATAGCATCACTTCCATTGTAGTCATGGGCCCACCTCCTGATGGGAGGAGTGTCAAGGTCACACTGCAGAGGGGCACATGGTGTGGAGACCTTGTCACAGCATCTGTGGAACACATGTCTGTGACATGGAACAGGGGCTTTGGTGCAGAATCATGCTGCAGGCCAGGTGGGCCAGTTAACCTGGTGGTGGTTTTGTTTTCTAGGCCACCTGATCTGGGAGGACCTCCTCCAAGAAAAGCTGTCCTGTCAATGCACGGTCTAAGTTATGGTGTGATCAGAGTTGACACCGAGGAAAAGCTCTCAGTCCTTACTGTTCAGGACGTCGGTCAGGCGATGCCTGGGGGTAAGGGGCATAGCCAGAGTGCATCTTCATCCTGCGATGCTCCAGGCTTTGTCTCAGAGCTCTAGAAGCAAGCATGCAAGGAAGGGGTTTCTCAGAAATGATTCTCAGTGTAAACGGGTTTAGTTTATAGAATATTTTTCCAGCTTTTTCTCTCCCTTTGTATTAAGTTTAAAGATGAGCTAAGATATAAGGTAGTGTTTATGGCTCGTGAAGCTGACTTGCAGTTCTCTCGTGTTTGAGGAGATGTGAACACCTCCTCCCCATGGTGGCCTTTCTGGGGTTCATGGGCAGCTGTCTTGACCCATCTTGGTATACAGAGGCAGGGCCCCAACTCTAAGCCCAGTCACTCTATTCTCATTGCCCCAGCTGCATTAGAGGTCCCCCAGGCATATAGGCTCACCGCATGTGCATGTGCTCCCCTAGGGGTGTGTGTGTGTGTGTGTGTGTGCTCCCCTAGGAGTGTGTGCATGCGTGTGCTCCCCTAGGGGTGTGTGCGTGCCCCTGCAGGGGTGTGTGTGTGTGCATGCTTCTGCAGGGGTATGTGTACATGCATGTGCTCCCATAGGGGTGTGTGCATGCATGTGTTCCCCAGGCATGTGTATGGTGCTCTCCTAGGGATGTGTGTGTGCTTCCCTAGGTGTGTGTGCGGTACTCACCTAGGCATGTGCACAGGGTTCTCCTACGCATGCGTATGGTGCCTTCCAGGCGTGTATATGGTACTGCCCTAGGCATGTGCTCCCCTAGGCATGTCAAGCTCAAGGCAATCATGTGAGGGTTATGGTCAGCAGGCAGCTATGATGGCACCTTGTGCATTGAGAGGATGTGTGAGGAGAGAGTGTGGGATGTGCATGTCTGAAAGGAAGCACTCTGTCAGCCTGGGCTCACCACATGAAGGGCACATTGCACTTTCTAGACATCTCACATTGGTTGTAGAAAGCATCATGTATAAAATATGCAGACTCATGACTAGGTGAGTGTGCTCTGTCCGTGTCATAAGACTCCTTATGGGCCGGCCCGGTGGCGCACTGGATAGTGCGCCGCTTGGGAAGCGCGGCGGCGCTCCCGTCCGAGGGTTCGGATCCC